ATTATCCTGATTTTACATATGTCATAAATGTAGGTTAGGGAAATTAAAGAATATAGCACAGTGCAAGAAAGTAGTAGAGCCAGGATTCAAACCCAACTTAAACTTGTTCCAAAGAATATGTTCTTTTTTTTTTTTTTAAGATTTTATCTATTTATTTGACAGACAGAGATCACAAGTAGGCAGAGAGGCAGGCAAAGAAAGAGGAGAAGCAGGCTCCCTGCTGAGCAGAGAGCCCGATTTGGGGCTCGATTCCAGGACTCTGGGATCATGACCTGAGCCAAAGGCAAAGGCTTTAACCCACTGAGCCACCCAGGCGCCTATGTTCTTAATTACTGTGCTTAACTGTGATAGAAATTCAACTCTGGTAGAAATTAAACAACCAGGGAAGTCCAACATGGTATGGAGTATGTGCCAACATTTGGAAAGAACATAACCAATGACTGACAGATTAAATGAGATAGTTGAGAGTCCAAGAATGTGGACAGCTCTGGAAACCCTCCCACCGGCAACTCACCCCATCTTCCAGACACATTGAGTGACAACTTCATTCACTATGAGCAGGACTAACGAAGGAAGACATGAAAACTGAAAACTAGGCAAATGAAGGAGGCAAAAACAAAAGCACAGCTAGATGAGTAATTGCGCTACTACAACTGGAAAAAAACTGATCAGGACTAATTGTAATACAGCAAAGTGAATCAGATCCCAAGGCTGAAGTCGGACCAACAGCAAAAGTGGTAATGCTGATAATCAGACTGTGATGTTCGCGCTCTCTTAACATGTTCTAAATTTGGGGTTGGTACCTAGTCTGCAGAAAGCCAAGTATCTCCAGCCCACCGGCCATGAAAAAGGGGGATAAACTTATTCCAGAAAGGTTAGCCTTGCTTAACAATTTGCTTAGAGTTCAGCATCCCTATATTGTACCTGCTTTCAAAGAGCTTCTTTTTCTTTTTCCCCAAGATAATACCTTTTTAAAATCTCTACATTCTTGTCTTCTGCCTTCTCCCATCATTAGCACCAGAGTTGCCAAAACAAGGACTGTTTTGGTCCCTGTTTGGGTCATTTGTAATTAGGTTTTTTTGGAAAGGTACACGAGCCAAAGTCAATCCAAAAGACAAGAGGAGTAAGACTGAAAGGCTGGGAATGTATCTACCGAAAAGAGAAAAGAGGTTTCACTCAAGACAGAATTCATATTAAGATAGATGGATTTGAGAGACATGAGCATGTCATAAGCTTCTTTTTCATCAACCTGGAAGTGAACAGCCTGGATTTGAGGAGACAGTTAGACATCAGTACTTGGTTATTCTGAAATCCCGCTACCATCCAGATGTCAGATGCTATTAGTTCACATATGACCACCAGTTTCATGAGAGATGCCTAGAACACAGTCTCTGGGCTGTCAGCACAATTTAAAATCATGTCACTTAAACATAGCCTTGTTGGTCTTTACAAGCTCTTTGTTTACTGTGGGTCTTAGTCTGAATAAAGATTTTAAATCGCTTCATAGTTTAACAGGATTTTTAAGTCACATTTACATTTTCTCTAAGATGTCAGCACTGTATCTCAGCTCTTCTCTCCAAATGCAATAACATGACAATAACAGACATGGGGATTTCAGATTTTGTTTTAGATGTACAACTGTAAAGTAAGTGAGATACATTCTTTGCTGTTTTCTGTATCCTACTCTCTGGATCAGGCCATGAATTTCCTCCTGTTGCCTCTAGCTCCCAGGGATTTTTCCCCCTGCCCTTTGCAATGCAGCACTGGTTGTTATGCTTCTGCTGTCCCCATCCATGTCAAATTTACTCTCGAAAGTTCTAGTCTTAAAAAATCGGTCAATATGATAAAATGTGAGGTAAAGTGCTAATGACAAATGATGTTTAAGGATTGTCTCTACACACGTCACTGACGTTTATCACTCACTACACCTGCGAACACATGACATGCCATGGACTATGCTTGCAGGTTCACATATGTTATCTCATTATCTCCTATTGCATATCACACAAGAAGACCCCCAAAATGGCCGTCTTCAATGCCTTCTCTACCCTTCGTTCCAGACCTACACACAGTCATTCCTTAAGTCAAGGGTAGCGCCTTAAGAACATGAGAAAACAACTGTCAATACGAGCTGCCTGGATACTACGATTAAAAGACTGAATATATTAAAACACGGAGATAAGTAGTACCTGTTTTAATAATAACCAGGAATACAAAAAAAAAAAAATGTTTGGATAGTCCTCAGTTGATTACCCTGGTAAGTTAGAACCTGCATTCTTGGTCAGATCACTGTATTCTTTCTTTAGGGCAAGGAGTGAATAATAATAGATTTTCCTGCAACCGGACAAGGCCACCAGGAAAGACAGTTTTGGTCAAAGCACACTTTACTGACTTCAAATTATAACATGTAGCTAGCTTTCTGCTCTGTCATTGAGGAAGGTCAGGTCTGGTTAAGTATGTGCTGAGGTCAAAGCTGAATCACAGCTAATGTCTAAATATAGATCATCTTTTAAAAACTGTGGCCTCTTTTCCATGGCTTCAGTGTGTACAACACAGGAGTTAGGTTTTCACAGAGAAGCTGCCTTTTCTTAGGGAAAGTAGGTCCAGTGAAAAACGCTGGCTTTTAAAATAAGGAAGAAAGTAGGAGTGTGCAAATTAAATAAAGATAAGTTGTTAAAGGTTAACTAGTTTCTCCTGGTGGTGTTATAAGCAAATGGCATAGTCATTCTCTGGTTCTAAAATATTTAGATGTTTTATTTCAGTCACATAGTGGGAGCTGAGAACAAATGTGGGTAAACCAGATACAAAATACCTTCACAGAACATAAGCTAAAACCTATTCCCTTAATTCTTCAGTGTTGAATCATCTGTTATGTCTGGACCGTAAATGTGAAGAATGCCAAAGCAGCTCTGGTATTGCCATGGTTTGGTACACACAGATACCAGGAAAAGCGGATCTACCCTGAAAACAGGTTATTGTCCCTGTTGTTGTATTAGTTTCTATGGCTATATAACAAATTACTGGAAATCTGGGGACTTAAAGTACCTATTCATTATTCCCCAGCTTCTGTTGATCAGAAGTGTGGGCACCACATAACTGGGCTCTGTGCTCGGGGTCTCCCTGGACTGAAATCAAGGTTTTGGTCTGGCTGTATTCTCATCTGGAGCTGAGGATCCTCCTCCATGTCTAGTCAGGCTTTTAGAAAAATTGAACTGCTTGAAGTTGTAGAACTGAGGTCCACATTTTCTTGGTTGCTGCCCATGAGTTTCACTCTCAGCTCTTAGGGGCTGCACTCGGGATTTAGACACGTGGCCCTCTCACAACAAGGTAGTTTACTTCTTCAAGGCAGGCACTAGAATCTCTCTTCCGTTGGCTATGCTGGGAGGGAATCTTATTTAATGCAACGTAATCACATAGCTGACTACCAACACCTTTACAATATAATATAACTCCCCCCCAAATAATAATAATAATAATAACAACAACAACAATAATAATATAGCCTAAGCATGGAGTGACTACCTCTCTGTATTTCCAGATCCCACCCACACTTAAGAGAAAGTATTGGACAGAGCCTGTGGGAACAGAAGCTTGGAGGCCATCTTAGAATTATACCTGTAACTATTAATCAGAACAGGGGCTGAGTACTGAACTATACAATGGAGAAGAGAGCAAAATGTTACTCATCTCCAGAGCCTATATATTAAATGTAAACTGATTCAGTACCAAGAATAATGTTTTCCAGGAGAAAACAAAACAAAATGAAATCTACAAATGTCTACCAAAATTCCCAGAGGAAGAAATCAGTCTCAATCTCAAGGTACCCTTTGAATTATGCCCAATAGAAATGCAAATTCCTATTCAGACCAATAATAAGGCTTGCAAAGATCTGTGCTCTCTAAAAGATACCTGTACCTCAGTTTTAGTAACCCCAAACCCTAACTTCCTATGTAAATACCCTTTTTTATCACTACACTCCTTCTTTATGTCTAATAGCCAGCTACTAGCCAGTGTGGTAACACTGCATTCTCTAGAGATAAAGTAAAAAGTCAAAATTCAAATTATAACACCGACATTTTCTGGAGTAGGAACAAAATAGCAGATGACCAAGTTTTGATTTTGGAGTACACACCCTGTATAATCCCCTCCTCTAGAATGTCAGTGGACATGTAAATATGATGAGATAGTCTTTCTTTTCATTAGATTATCTTACCTAGCAAAATGATGGGTCACTCACTCATGATTATTTTATGTTATAAATGATTCAGTCTGAGCACAGTGAGAAAACTGTTTTGCAAGCCTTGAAGAGGGTGAGCTGCAATGTGGTAAGAAGAAGGTCACATGGACAGGCCTTAAGGAACTCTTAGGAGCTGAGAGTAAACCTAGGCTGACGAAAATCTAGCAAAAAAAAAAAAAAAAAAGTGGGGGGCCCTGCAAGATAGTGATCTGAATGGGCTTGGAAGAAGACCCTGGGCCTCGGATCAGATTACAACTCAGATGACACCTCAATTTTAGCCTGGTGATTCAGGTGGCTAAGCTAACCTCTGACTGGAAAGATAACCAATGAAAACTGTGTGGTAATAAATTTGTGTTCTTTAAACTGTTAACTCTGTGCCAGTTTATGCAGTATAGAAAACTAGTACATAAACAAATTAATAAATAAAGTAAACAAACTATCAAAATTGGGTTTAAGAACTTTCTATAGCAACAGCTCTCAACAACAGAATCCCAACTGATCTTACTGCATAATTATCATCATTTTCAGGAAATGTACTGAAAACTAAAACATACTTAAAATAAACACATTATTTTGTGGTACTCCAGGGCACAGTAGATGACAAACCCAAAACAAAAACTCATTAAGAGATGGAAGAATGTCAAACCAGTGGGGACTGAAACAAATAGCTCCAACAAGGGTAAAAGAAAATCTGAATAATTAATAATGGTGTGTATTATGTGCGGAGTACTCATATTTATGTGGAGAAACAAAGGACACTTACTCTGAAAGTTGTTCACTGAGAAGTCTTGAGGATGATAGAATCCTGCTTTGCAAATGCACTGATAGGCTCCAAGCACGAATCCTAAGCCTTTAATTGGCATACACTATGAAAAAGAAAAGACAGCGTAGAGTTGATCACAGTTTATTTCACAGTATAAAGACCCACAAATATACATCACTGCAAATGGTAACAGAACTATCACATTTTCCAGAAATAAAGTATCTCTTCTTTGAACTCTTATTTTAGATTTGTTTGTCAACAGACATTTTTTTAGAAACCACAAACTGAGTTTCCTTTCTAAATACACACCATTATGGCTGTAGGCACCCACAACTTTAACTCATTCGGTTGCCATAGGGAGTAAATTTTTAGGCATGGCTTTTGGATTTAATGCTCAGATATACTACTGCTTTAAGAGGTATTTCCAAAGCCTGTAAGAATGCTTAAGAAGGATTCCATGTAAAACATTTCTATCACAGCAAAGGGAGGTAGATAGGTGGGTAGGTAGATGGATAGAATTCAGGATGTGAAAATTGTTTCTATGAATTAAATATTTACCAAATTTTCATCCTTGGAATAAAAATAACATAAATTGGTAAAACAACAAAACAATTAAACTTTAAAGTGAAAATTTGCAAGAGAAAAATTAAGATAAAATAATGATCCCAAGGGCTCTTTACCTAAAATCTGTTTCATAGATAAGTGTTCTATATGTATATAAATTTTTAAAAAATGACCAGCTTTCTAAATATGTCACATCAATAGATATAATAGATATCTCCCAAAAGCTTAATCTTGGCTTCTTTCAAAGATATCACTTAAATCTCATCAAATTTGGCTTAACATACTTCACTTCTGCTACTTTTCATTATATAGCATGGAATAACTTCTACTAAAATACAAATAATACATCAATAAAATAGAAGTGTCTCAAGAATACAGTTAACACTGAAATTTCATTTCTGCTGTCTCTCTACCATGATGATAATCCTTTGACTTTTTGCCATTCTAATCAGTTAGAAAATCTTACAATCTAATGGATTTCAGTTACAAAATGTCTCCTTAATACAGAAGCCCTGAAGAGAAAACTTCAAATAATTCAAATAACTCAACAATCTAAGCTTAATGATTGGTATCAAGATCAATATTACATACTATGAAAACTCCAAGAAATAGAAAAGTATTTATATATAAGGTACCAAGAGCTAATACATGTTCTAAATTCATATGGATATAACAAAAAAGTGTTTAACAAAGTGGTTTCTAAGAGACCTCCTTGAATATTTTATTTCATTAATTTGGCAACCACCCCAGCCTTTTTTTTTTTTTTTACCCAACACACAATTTATATCAAACTATACCTTGCAATTAAAAACACAGTTCCTGACCCAGAGCAACATACAAGAAGAGATAAGTACCGATCAATTCAACTGAGTTGGCAAGTATTTATGAAATGCCTGCTGTGGGTTCAGAAAATTCCTATAGAACCTAAATGAATTAACATATTATTTATAAAAATCCAGTTATATAATAGGTCAGATGATATTTCTGAACTATGTAAATTAAAAACAATTGTAACACTTACTTTGCAAAAACACTAGTATTATGAATAGAGCATATTGTTTGTGGTCAGTCAGAAAATGGGACTTGAATTATGACTTTATCACTAACTAGTATGTGAACTTGGGATGTTCTCTTAACTTCTCTGAGCCTTAGTTTTTTAATTTATAAGACCAATAATACAGTCAAATTCATATACAGTTTTGAACAAGGCAGAAACACAGAGATGTTGTAATAGGTTAAACATGGGGTATAAGAGGAAGAGAAGAATATAGGGTGATTTTATTCTGTTTTTTTTTTGTCTGAGCAACCTTAAGACTGGAGATGCCACCATTGACATAGGGAAGTCTCCTGATGGAGAAGATTTGGAAGAAAGAGCAGAAGTTCAGTTTTGTAATTATTAAGTGTGAACTACCTATGTGAAATTTAACTGTAGATATCAAACAGGCAGGCTGATAAAGTTTTAGGGAGTTTAGGAGAGATATCTGGGCTGTATAATTTAGGACTGATTTGCACAAAGATGATAGGTAAAGCCATGAAATCAGGTAAGACTACATCACTAAGGGAGTGCCTACAGGCTGTAAAAGACAGAGGTCCAAAGTGATGAGACTCAAGACACTCTAGGGCTAAAAGATTAGGCAGAAAGGAAGCAACAAAGGATACTTAGAAGAGTAATTCAGTGTGGTATCATTATCTCATTAACTAGATTGTGATACTATGGACATAAAATGTGAAATTTCTTGTGAGTTACATTTAGTAAACATTCATAAAGCATAGATTTATCCAGGTAGACTAAGTCTTAGATGCTGTTAATACAATAGTATACTCTAAATATTCTGCCTCACTGGAATTTGGAGGTTAATGCTATTTCTTAAAACAGCATTAAATTCCCTGATAATATGACAGTATACAAAAGTAATGCAGTTGAAAATTTTAAATGTTTAAGGCAGATTGAAAGTTTATGGGAATAAGAATATCTCTTTACAAGCTAACTCTAAACTTGAGATAAAAATGAAGGTTAAAAAAAAGAAAACCTAGTTGATCAGATAAATATGACCAAATATAAAGTCCCTTGAGCATAAAGAAAAATCTTCCCAATTTTATTATGGATAACACAGAAATATGAATTATTAGTTACCTCAAATCCCTTGTTCTATTCTTAAATTAACTTATATTTTCAAAGAAAAGAAAAAAAATAGTTAACATCAATAAAAATATCATCCTGCTGCACTTCAAAATTGTGGGACCTGCATGTAACTCAATATACTATTGCTTATATAGGTTTGCCTAAGTATAAAAGTAATCTTGCTTATTTTTCTATTAATGATTATAAATTTGCAATCAAATTTCCATGCTTTCTTGCTCTATCTGCCATTACCATTCTGTAGCTACTCTAATTCTGCCACACCTCCCAAACTTATACATTTTCAAGATTAGGCAACTAGTTTAGTATTCAAACTAGTTTTTCAAAATCTACATTAAGTATGATGACTACTCAACTAATGTTCATCATATCTGGACTGAGGAGCTGTTTTCTATAATTTTTAAGATTTAGAATTTTTAAAAGATTCCCACGTAATACAGGGAAAAGTCTTCAGAAGTTAACTCTAATTTAAAGTTCATTTAAAATATTCACTTGAAATATTAATTTTAGATATTTAAGACATTCATTCATTTTAGATATTCAAGCCTAAGCCTTTCTGCTTTATCTTCATAGAAATCCAAGAAGCTAGAAATGGACAAAACAGTACTTCTTCCTCCATGGAGGTAGCTGTTCCATGATACCATTCTATAAACAGTAAGCTTCTTATATTAAGACTTATGGCATCCCTGTGAATGAAGTAGCTACTCACAAGACTGGATGCCCTCATCGATGAACCTATAATGCCAATACTTACTAAGCCAGCAGCAGAGATATAGCCAAGGAGAGCCTTGACAACCTACAGTCAGTTACATTCCTGGGAGTAATCCAGATCCAAATGGAAGGAGATAGAGGTCAAGAATTTAGAGAAAAATAGATTCCTAGAAATATACAGCCTATCAAGTATGAGTCATGAGGAAACAAAAATTCTGGACAGATTTATAACTAGTAAGAAGATTGAATAAAAAACATCCCAATGGAGAAAAAAGCCCAGAACCAGAAAGCATCAATGGACAATTCTACCAAACAGTCAAAGAAAAATTAACACTAAATTTTCCTCAAACTGTTCTAAAAATGTGAAATGAAAATACTTTCTAACTCATTTTGTGAAGCCAGCATTTTCCTGGTAGCAAAATCAGACAAAGATACTACAGGAAAAGAAAACCACAGACCAATGTTCCTGATTAATATTGATGTGAACATCTTCAACAAAATAATTGCAAACCAATTTCAACATATTCAAAGGACTATACACCATAACTAAGTGGGACTTATTCCTGGAATGCAACAATGATTCAATGTACAAATCATTCAATGCAATAATACACCATACTGACAAAATGAAGGACAAAAACTACATGATTACTTCAAGTAATTTAGAAAAAGCATTTGACAAAATTCAATACATTTTCACAGTAAAAACACTCAACAAACTATGTAAAAACACTCAACAAACTATGAATAGAGGGAAACTATCTCAACATAAGAAAGGCCATATTTGAAAAGCCTATACCTAACATTATGCCTAATGGTGAAATGCTGAAAGACATTCCTGTAAGATCAGAAATAAGACAAGGCCAGTGTCACTTCCATTCAGCATTATTGGAAGTCTTAGGCAAAGTAATTATGAAAAAAATAAATGGCATTCAAAAAAGAAAGAAAGAAGTACAATTATGTGTTTGCAGAATACATAATGTTACATGTAAAAAGCCGTAAAGATTTTGCCAATAAAAGAAAAAAAAAAACCTGTTAGAATTAATAATCATATTAAGCTAAGTTCTAGTACATAAAATCAACATACAAAAATTGGTAAGTTTCTATACACAAATAATCACAATCCAGAAAGGATATCTAAAAAAACAATCCCACTTATAATAGCTTCAAAAAGAATAAAATACTTAGGAATAAACTTAACCAAACTGAAAATTATAAAATGTTGCTGAAAAAATTAAAGATACAAACATGTAAACTGACAGTTATGTTTGTGGATTGGAAAACTTAACATTGCCAGAATTCCAATGCTACCCAATGCAATTGTTATTAAAATCCCAACAGCATTTTTGGCAGAAACAGAAAAACCATCCTAAAAATCGTATGTAATCTCTAGAACCCCAAATAGTCAAAGGAATCTTGGAAATGAAGAATTTGGAGGTCTCACACTTTCTAAGTTCAAAAATATTTACAAAGCTACAGTAATCAAAATAGTGTGGTACTGGCATGATGGCAGATGTATAGACCAATGGCAAAGAATAGAGGCCCCAGAAATAAACCTCATATATAATGATCAAATGACATTTGCAAGGATGCCAGTACCATGCAATGGGGAAAAAAGGGCAAACTCTTTAACAAATCGTGCTGGGAACACTGAATATCCATATGCAAAAGAATTTAAATTACCTTAA